AGCTAACACTGACACAGCTAATGTTAACATGTTAAAAAGAAGCTAACACTGACGCGGAGCTAATGTTAACATGTTAATGGGAAGCTAACACTGATACAGCTAATGTTAACATGTTAACAAGAAGCTAACACTGACATGAAGCTAATGTTAACATGATAACGAGAAGCTAACACTGACACAGCTAATGTTAACATGTTAACGAAAAGCTAACACTGACATGAAGCTAATGTTAACATGTTAACGAAAAGCTAACACTGACACAGCTAATGTTAACATGTTAACAAGAAGCTAACACTGACATGGAGCTAATGTTAACATGTTAACGAGAAGCTAACACTGACATGAAGCTAATCTTAACACAGAGCTAGCACTAATGCGTGGCTGTTAAATACAAGTGCAACAATTGTCATTGTTATGTCATATTCGTTTTTGACTAAATGCAACAAATAATTGTGATAAATATTTATTTTTGTCATTATCATAATAATCCTGATCCTCAGAGTTGATATTAACAGTGATCTGATGGTTCAGGGTGTTTCTCGGCTCTCTGAGGGGCTGAACTCTTTAGAGAGGAGCTATCTTCTGACYAGAGACGAGCACAGACTCCTCCAGCAGCGAGGACTGGAAGCCTGCCCGTTCGACCCCGAACGGTAAAAACAATAGATCAGGTTGTATCTTCTTCCTGTTCGTGGAGCGAGGTCCCTGAACGTTTGTTGTGTTGGTCTCAGGGAGCTGGAGGGTCTGATCTTTCAGTGCGGGCTGCACGTAGAGGAGCTGAAGGAGCAGCAGACTCCTGGATCCTCCTCGACGTCTGAGGAGGAACAAACRCTGACTCCTCCTCAGGTCTGATGAGCTGCAGCTGTTTGTTCAAACCTCACCCGGTCGGTTAGTTCCTCATCTTCATCTCCTCACAGAGTCTTCATCGGTCACCGGAGGGCCCAGCAGACCCTGGACCAAGCTCGGCCAGCAACAAGAGTGACGATGAGGAGGAGAAGGATGAAGAAACTGTCAGACCTCTGATCAGTGAACACACCTGTGTGGAGTCGAGAAAAACACAAAACCTGTCAGTTTTAGGGATTTTATTTTATAATTTGTATCTTTTTCTGCTATTTCAGCTGTCTTTCTGCTCTGTTCGGCTGTTCTGTTAATTAAAAAACTGCTTTGTTCTTATTTTTCTGCCTTTTTAAGCTGCTTTTTAGCTACTTTCAGGTTTTTTCTACTAACTTCACTTTAATAATAATAATAATAATTTCAGCTTCTTTGTGCTAATTTCAGCTTTTTCAGCTATTTTCAAGTTATTTTCAGCTCATTTCACCATTTTTTTAGCTATTTTTATCACATTGTTTTTGTTTCTGCTAATGTCGGCTGTTTTACTGTTCTTTTACCTCCTTTCTGCTAAATCTGACTTGTTTCTGGTTTTAGCTACATTTCTGCCCCGTTCAGCTTTTTCAACACTTATTTTTATTTTTCACTTTGTTTTCCTCCTTTCAGCAAACAGCTGTTCAAATTTAACTCATCAACATTTTAGCTGTTGAACGTTTTCAGCTTCAGCAGCTTTCAGCTAAAATCTTTCTCCAGTTTATTTTACTGTAAATATTTTGTTTTTGCTCCTTTTAGAGGCCAAACCTTAAAGAATCCTGATCGTCTCAGAGTTTCCTCTCCGGATGTAAAGACCTCTGAGCAGCCGGAGAGCGAGGAAGAGGAGCAGACGAGTCGAAGGACCAGGACTGATCTGAAGACGTGAGTCCTCAGAGTCTCCTAACAGGACTTAAACCCACAGTCTGAGTCTGGCAGCTGGATCCAGTTCTTGGTTTGTTTTTCTAACAGGAGAGTTGAGTCAGACCAGGACTCCCCGATCTGCTCCAGAAACCAGCAGACCTGCTCCCAGGTGGACACGTCCTTCAGGGTGGACTTGTCCTCCCGGGTCAGCCCATCCTTCAGGGTGGACACGTCTTCCCTGGTGGACTCATCCTCCATGGTCAGTCCGTACTCCCGGGTGGACTCGTCCTCCCGGGTCAGCCCGTCCCCCATGATCAGCCCGTCCTCCCAGGTCAGCCCGTCCCCCATGATCAGCCCGTCCTCCCAGGTCAGCCCGTCCCCCATGATCAGC